ATCGTAGGAGAATTCAATTATCTCTTGATCTTCTCCAAAACATCATTACGTCTTTTTGAAATAGATGATGTTCTATCATGGTAGATTCATCTGCAGAAGTGATGTTACCGCTTTAAATAACACTTTACAACTCCAGTTGCACTTAAAGTTGAGCGTTTCGGGTGGAGTTCAACGATTTCTCATTGTTTTGAGAATGGAACAAAAATTTTTTTTCAAACTCATACGGCTCTCGTGGATTGAAGAAAATGTTTGTAAAAAGTTGGGGTAGTTCGCAGCGGCAGTGCTCAAAGGGCAAAAGTGTTAAACTAATTTTCGATTTTTTTTCTAATTTACACGTTTAATTTGCTCTTATTCTTATTGGTGTTAATTATTTTCTAGATAATTTTTATTATGTCTGTTTCTTTACTAATACTCATTACTTTCGCTGTAATAAATTCCTGTTCCTTTTTTGAAGGCCGAGTATACTGTCGCAACCAATCGTTTTGGCTGATTTGTCATAGTTTGATGGTGCTTACAGAGAAAAAACCTTTCAAGGCTCTGATTTTTACCATAATCCATCTATTCTTACTGATTTCTCACTGCGCGAGTAACACGAGTTATTTTGGGGTGTGGTGCATTAGAAACGAAATGGTCGCGTCGCGGTGGGAGGGGCGTCGCGCGCGAAGGAATGTAGCAGGATGCAGCAGTGGGTAAGAAATACAAGAACGAAAGTACTAATAGTAGAATTATGCATAAAATAATGATGGCATATCGATTGAGCTGTATGAAGTACGCTAGAGCTGTAATAACGGCGAGTGAGTAGTCCGCGACAGCCGCGTGCGGCGAATCGATCACTCAAAATCGTTCCTAACGCCCGTCTCCCGTTTTGGGGTATTATTTTTCTTACTGATTTCTTACTGCGCGAAAAACACGAGTTATTTCGCTCTTGATGGCAAGTATTATTACAGAGCAGTTGCGGGATTATCGTGAGGTCTCGGATCCACACTGAGTTTTCGTTTTTGTATGTGTGACTAGGTGCTGTGCAACTACAAGTTCGAATTTTTCCGGGGAAGTGATGAGGTGGGGGAGTGGGATGGTAATAGTTGGTGTATATTTAGCGTTCGGCCATGATTCCCTCGTAGTTAACCATGTGTAGACGTTTCTGAAGCCAGCTGCATTTCCATTTACCTATACCACAGCTGTACAAATTTCCGAAGTTTTTGTGTTTTCAGCCCGAGGACCTTGTATGTCTTGTTACTGTATCACATTATCCAAGCAAAGTCGTACTGCCTTTGTCGATCCTGTGCCTTAAGTCTATAATTAGCCGTTTACCATCTCGATCGGCTGTACGGTCATCTTCTGATATAGCGAAGGCATGTGGAATGCGGTCAAGAAATGCGCTGGTTCCATCGGTACTGTTTACTGTAGTGGCACTGCTATATTGCCTGATTCAAGTGACTTTTGTAGGATCGAGCCTCCATAGGAATCGCTGCAAATAATATTCTTCGAACAAAAATGAAACTTAAAAAACAGTACGAGATCGACTGCGTTGTGAGAATGGCCACCATATTGAGAGAGAACGAAGCAGGTGCGGCTTAACCTTTATTTTACGTTAAATTCACTGAAGGCTACTCGTTCCAGGACCATTTTTCAACACACTAATAGATATTGGTGCTGGTATGGGCCATCTTGCGAGGGTTCTTAGTATCGCTTTTCCTGACTGTCCAGTTGTAGCCGTTGAACAGGACAAAGAAGTCAGTTTCTATGAACTTTCAGAAGTTTTCAGTCATGTTATGGGTTTTGCTTGCAGTTGGTACAACGATCCATTGAGTTGGACCACACTGTGCCTAAGTTCCACAAGAATTTCATACCACCACGTCATCATTGTGAATCGGTGCAGTCCGGTTTTTATGGATCATGTCTTGACGAATTATCTGAAGGTAAGTTATTCCCTTTGTTTCCAGTACGTACTTTATGGACTATATTAGTTTATAGAATTATTTTAAAGAATTGGTTCTGATATCGTAGTGATGTATGGTTTTTTGATCTGTAGATGCTAGGTCGGGCATCCGAGCAGAAATGAATTTTAACTTGGTTCTGCTCGAAATTGGCACTGTTCCAAAATTTCGGTGTTTTTTTTT